CCACTTGCCCGTCCATTAAAAATTAAGCACAAATCAGTTGAGGGGTTATCTTTAAGGATGGTAAGTGGGTTGTGGGTAGGATGGTTTGTGCCAAGGGAATATCTTTGTAAGAACTAATGGGATTATCAACCGGGATGGAACCAGAAATTTAAGTTAAGGGGCAAAAGGTTAAAATATTTTGAGTTATTTATTAGTTCACATTAATATAATTTATATTAGTTTCTATATCAGTTAATTAATTTTGTGTATATACCACTTAAATTATACATGTAAAATTTTAAATTAATTAGATATATTTAGCTTTATCAAGAAAATTAGAAATAATTAGTTATTTTTAAATGATATATATATGCTTTAAAAACCTTAAATAAATATTATAAAAATATAATTTATTTTTGTGAATGGTTATATACATCAAAACAACTTTAAATTTGAAATGTATGATTTATATGAATAGAATAAATTCAATCATTATTTTCATAAAATATAAACTGTACAAAAAAATTATATATAACTAATGTAAGAATTTATATAAGTTACATTAGTGTAATTAACTAAATTTTGATTATTTTTCAATATTTTTCTTCCCTAAACCAAATTGTCATATCTTAAAAATTAATCACAAAAAGAGAAATGATTCCTTTACCTAAATCCTAGATATTTTCTTAATTTATATTTGAGATGGTCCCAATAATTCAAAAACTCAAAAAACAAAATTTTGTAAAAAATAAAAAAAAAATTACCATATTTGAAAATTTGCAAAAGCTCCTTGTCCTATATTGGCTCCGTACCTGCTTATCAAGGATATGGTTTGTGCTGAGAGAATATCTTCGTAATCTTTGTTTCAATTTTCCTTAAGCTATCTGATGAATAAGCTAAATCTTTTGTAAGTGTTGGAATGTGCTTTGCCCACCTCGAATAAAGTACTTTTTTTTTTTTAATAAAGTAATAAAGTACTTTCTTTGCTATTTGATGAAGTCATGGATTCAAATTAAGACTAAACATTAACGTTCTGTTTCGTTACCCATATTACTTAGACAATATTCGAAGAAATTTCATTAAAAAACAACTCGACTTCAGTCTTGGAAAGTTAATTTCCAAACACAAAAATTAATGCAAAAAGTAGTCAATTTTATTTATTTTGTAATTGGTTGTATGTACTTCAAAAGTAGTATAATCAATTAAAATGAAAAATAATTGATTACATATTTCAAAAGGAAACTTTGCAGGATCTTCTACCAAGAAACGCTTATCATACAATATAGTTACTTATATTAATTTATAATTAATTATTATCTAAAATAATTACTTATATTTTTTTTCTAACTAATTATTTCTTACATTAATTTTTAAGTTTGAAAGTTTATTAATTTTCTAAGTCGTAAGTTAGCTAAAAAGAGATGTTAACTTTTTTAAATATTATTTTTAGCACATAAATAACCAAACAGCTTCTAGAGAATGGCACGATTTAATTATTTTTGGAAACCATGTTTAGAGTTGGACAAATAGCTATAAATCATGAGATCAATTTTTTACAGGTGCTAAGTACTGTGAAATATGTAAGTTCCAATTTATGTCAAAGAAAAGAGGAGGTGACACGGAAAAGAGATTCCTTTAAAAAGAGGGGGGAAAAAAGTAGCAGACGGGGTCATATCAAGAATTATATCAAATTGATACAAAATTACAAAAACGAAGTGCATGTGAAAGAAAGAAGAGGAAAAATCAAGAACATGTAAAAGAAAAAGTTAAAATATTAACTTGGTCACTCAATTTTTAGATTTTTATTAAAATTATTTTTAAAATTTAAAGAGTATCGAAATTATTCTTGAATTTTAAATTTTATTATCAAAATAGTTCTAAATTTAAGACATGAAAATCAACTTAATTCTTAAACTTTAACAAGAAATATCAACTTAATTCTTAAACTTTAATTATAAGTACCAATTTAATCTTTTAACTTTAAGTACACGTTAATTTGATTTGCAAATGAAAATAAGCTATGATGATAAAACATAACAATTTGATTTTATATATTATTAGTATTTAAAAAAAAAACTGATTTTGTAGTAAGATAATGAATCACATAAAATTTTCATTAACAAAAGAATTATTTTAACACTGAAATTAAAGTTTAAAGATAATTTTAATATAAATATAAAAATTGAAGGATTAAATTGATATTTTAACTAAAAGAGAATTTAGTTTTGTAGTTTATGCTACATGGTAAAATGTGAGTGGTTGGATGGAAAGTCCTTGGTATCTAGAATCGGTTTTTATATAACAATTTAAATTATACAGTTGGATGTACTGCACATAATATTTTCTTTTTTAGTATATTAAAAGGTTAATTATTTAGTATTATAAAAATTTAAAAATTTCACCTTAATCTTAAATTAATATTTTTAAATTAATTGATACCAACTTGAGTAAAATTTTGTTTTTCATGCACAACACCCTTTTGCATATGAAATATTATAGGTAAGCCACGTATGGCCTCAAGTTACAAACTTAATATATCCAATTACATCCCAAAGGTGGTCGTGCCGGAGTGGTTATCGGGCATGACTAGAAATCATGTGGGCTCTGCCCGCGCAGGTTCGAATCCTGCCGACCACGTTTATATTTATTTCTTTTTTGTGTTTGTATTTTTTTTTTTTTCCTTTTTAACAAGTACAAATTCTAAAAGGTAAAAGAATTTAAACCAATATTTAAACTAATACCATAATGATAAAAATACTCCTTCGAAGCTAACTATTAACTAGTCGGCACTCAAGAGCGGGTGCTTTTGTGTTTGTGGTTTGTGCACCAAAAAGTGAAACAAAAACTCCATTGTCTTTTGAGTGGGAGCCCACAAGGTGCTAAAAAAATGTTCCCTTTTGATCCCAAAGTAAGCTATCTCCTAATTCTTATAGAAGTTCATGGGAGAGATGGCACAATGCATGGACTTCTTTGTTGATGTTGTTGGGCCCGAGAAATGTCATGGACTTGCTTCCCCCCGACTCTTTCGGCTCTATGGAGGAAGGTTAGAGTACTAGCTGTCTGAAGTTTTGGTTGAGCTTAAGCCCAAAGGCAAGTAAAGGGCAAACTACACCAGTGGCCACTTGACATTCAAGATTTAAATTTTTAGTTATTCAGTTTAAATTTAGGAAAAAGTGTTTTACAGTATAAAATAGTTCGGAGTGTAAAACAGTATACCCTTAAATTTAACTTGCAACCGTTAGTTACCAAACGGGCAAAACTAATTTTCTGTTCAGTTACATGGACGCTGCAATGATACTTGCTTAGATGGTCAAAGAAGGAAGCAAAGGCCTTAGAGGAGTTACTCCTTTGTCGCAAACCCAGTCGAGGACAGGGATTTCAAGTTACTTTCAGCCATATTGTGTGGATTTAAGAAACCAAGCGAATCAAGAATGCAAGGCTGATGATGAGTATAGGAGTAAACATTCTTTTTTGGGCCAAGGAGGAAGTAAAAGCTATAGAGAGTGCTTGGCAAAACTTGAAAACTAAATCCTTCCTTTAAAAATTTAAATTTTGTTACAGAGAAATTTACAAATTAATTTTTAAGATAAATTTTAAATAAATTTTTAAAAAGCAATACCATTCAAAGCTTCTTCCAATCTTGCTTGAAAATATCTAGTTTCTTCATTTTAGTATGCATGGAAATTATTTTTAATTTTTCCCAACAAATTTTAACTTTATGAGCAAATTGAAGCGCAGGCACCTAGTCCTTAGATTAATGCCTTCGGCCTAATTAATGGGGCAATAGACCGTAGAGATTGCTTTTCAAAAATAAGTTGTTGGCAGTGGCACATCATTGTGCCAAAATGAGCCAAAAAAAAAAAAAGGCTGAAGACTCTGCAATTCCAAAATTAACTGTTCTGGATTTTTTTTTTTTCCGTTATTAGCCAAAGAAAAAATTGGAGAAAAATGATTTTCCTTAAATAAGAACAAAAGTAACTTAAAAATGGGTTTAAGCCCC